CCCCCAATCTTTCACGACACTCATAGCCCACAGATTTCTAGTCCATTAAGTAAGACATAGCTGTAACCCAACTGCCAACTACCATCCCGGATGTAATGCACTAAGGTCAAACCGCATAAATGAGGCACGGTGGAGTGTGTATGCTTCACTTTTACCCTAAAATCTTCAACTGAAAGGAGAATATGAAACAGAAGCAATTTAACGTCATCATTTATGTTTTAAAAAGGGTATAACACAGGTGTTTTGATACCCCCAACGACACAATTTAAATCATTTGGGAGATTCAGAACAGTTGGCCAGTCTGCAGAGCAAGAAGCATCTGATAGGCATGAATCCACAGCACACCGTGTCCAGAATTTCTGGAAAATTACTTCTCTTTGGTGCTCCTGACTCCGTTGATGTGCCCCTAATCGGAAAAGTTTGCTTACCCTTGCGTTAGGGAATTCCCTTTATAAAAAACAGAACTCTCAGAACTCAGAACCACAACTCCATTTCTAAGAAGTGGGCAAGACTCTTATCCAATTTTGCAGACCATGCAAAGACCATGATGGCAATTTAGGTGACTTTTTTGGGCATCCCAGCAAATACCAAATAAATTCTGGACTTAACTTTGAACAGGAAATGACGTAAGGTATACAATGAGTCATGACAATCTTTATTCATCTCACAGGGAGAAATTTGTCTTGGTCGATAACAATGGCAGTAGTTTAACAAAGTTCCTGTACACACACGCATACACACAACAAGAAAGAACATAAATTTGCTTAGTTTTGGTAAGTAGGAGTTCTACGACACTTGCAACACAATAGGTCACATAAATGCCAAAGTTTAGAGGCGTTACAAAAGAGTAACCTACACAAAAAAGAAGGAAGAGAAATGAGGACAACAGAAGTTTGATAAGAAAGAAGGAACAAACAACGCCAGAGCACCTACCAACCACCCACATACATACACATACGCAGATCTGACAAGCGAGACAAGTCTCCGCCCCTTGAGAGAAACACAAACATCATACAAAATGAGCAATTAAATACACTAGAGTCCACATAAACAAAGCAAGATTAATCTGAAAACAGATTTAACTTCAAGTGGGAAAAAAAAAATATTCCCAATTTGTTTCCTGGTGTTTAACCAACCTCTCCAGGTTCTAAACAGAAAACCTGGACGAATCAGAGAAAATCAAGCAGTTTCACTGGACTCCACTGTAAAAATATAATTTAAATCAACGGTCTTGCTTGGGCCAAAGGCGACTTTAAAGCAATCAGAAATGTCCTGTATCATAAATAATACCATAGCAACAATTTTTCTTTCTTTCATTCTAATTGATATATAGAAATTTCTGGATATCATGCTTGGCTCATCAGAACATAAGGTTCCGAACTTTAAAAATATATGGCAGTCCTTTACCAGATTTTTGTCTTTTGATTACATGTACAATTTGTAAAGAAAAGCATCTCGATATGAGAAAAACAAAAGGTGTCTATAAATTTGGTTACTTCTGATTAAACATTTGATACAATGTAATGACAGTGACAGCTAAAAGAAACAGAAATGATCACACTTCTGCACTGCTGTCAGCTTTTCAAAACCAAAATACAAACTGTACCCTAACGGTAGGGCCTTAGCCAAGTAACCCCCCTCCAAACCCTTCACACACACACATACACTTTTCAACATTCAATAAATTAAAGTTATCCAAAGCGTGCACAAGCACCAAAAGGTCTCTCCAACTTATGTATGGGCTTTTTCTTATTATAAGTAGCAAATCATTTCTTGAAAGTTCATAATTTCTTTTCAGCATCAGCAAGTCCATGAGGAGCAATACCAGAAAATAGAGAATAATATGTGTAATGATGTGGTGGAACCAAGCGCTCATCAATTTTGGGGCATGTGGGTCAGTAGAATGTCACGTCATGGACAAAAGACATATTATTTCCTATTATAAAAGTCGGGGGAGTTGAAAATTGCTTTATCCGCTTACTTTGTAAGAGTCACCAGTTGAATCAGTAATCCCAAATTTGTTGCACTTAATGTATCTGTGTAAGGGAAACTTCTCCATCCTGTAGCCTGTCTTGACATAATATATCTCTAAGAGAAGCTTTGTTACTGCAATAATGCTGACCACAATCCAACTGTAGAGAGCTATTTTGTTCACACTGGAAAAAGTAGATAACTTTCAAACCTTTGCACCAAAATAATAATATGTTTGCCCCTCAGTACAAAGGTAAATACGTGTATATTTTACTAAACAAAAAAATTCTCGATTTATTTCTTTTTCAGTTAAAATGATTTCTGTTACAATGAGCTCGAGGTCCTTTCTTATCTTTACTGGTTCTCTGCACAATATTATTCACCCCTTGTGGCAAACAGAAGACATATCCCCAGAAAGTAAAATAGAATGAGTAATTGCGAGTGAGATGATCATGATTCCCTGATATAACGATGTATAACCCACTTGAGAGGGTACGGAAGAGAGAATCAAAAAGAGTCTCACTTTGACGTTGATCATTTGAGTTGCCATAGACCATTTTCCTGTCAACTTGAAAAACTAGTTTCCAGAGTAATCCTGTGTATAGCGGACGAAACAAAAGCCGACATGTGTCAACTCTGAATCAAGACTGAAAACTAAAACATTTAATCAAAAAAAGAAAAGAAATCTGACTACCACAATTGACACGTGAGTGATCGTTTACAAATTACGTCAGCTCAGAAGGGGGAGGGGGGAGGGGGGGGGGGGGGGCGTGTCAGTGAGTGAAAAGTTGACAAAAGTTGACATGGGGGAGAGGGGGTCCTTACAAAGTTACAAAGTTAAAATCAACCATGATGATGCTCTAAAAGGTTGGGGGAAAAAAGAAAAGAAAAGAAAGGAAGAGAAAAAATTATACACCACATTTTCTAGGCCAAAAATGAACACAGTTAATTATTTAGTTGTTAATGAATAATTTGACAGTTCAGGTATATTTCTTTGTGGTATTCTTTAATAAACAGTAGTTTTTATTCTTTTAATTTAAAATAAAGATAAACGGTGTAAATATAAAATGCATCCTGTACAGGTTCTATCTAAATGTACATGCACATTTTGGTTGACGTCAACTGGGGGGGGGGGTGTCATGGGAAAGATGACAGAAGTCGACAAAGGGGGAGGGGGTCATTATTTGCCAAATTAAAGCTGACATCATTTCTGAACCGTCCCCAAATTTTTTAAAAAAAAGGAGAATTTAAATGAAAGTCATTAATGGGCAACTGAGAGGAATGTAAAGTTAATCCATAAGTGTACGACATGAAGAGAATGGATAAACCCCAAGCTTTTATACCTCTCACACTCGCAGTTTCAACTATTCAAGTTTTTTCTTTCACAGAAACCCCCACTTATTTATTTACAAGCAACTGCATGCACATAGTGCAAAAAAATGTGACTGTCATGATGCTGTAACTACTAAAACCAACAGTCTCGTCATCTGTCTTGTCAGTTATCCTCACTTGTAACGTCATTCAGCCACAGAGCAACGTTTTTCTTCAGTAAGAAGACTGTGAATTCATTCGTTCGAGGATAACCCTTCCAGCCCCAGCCATTTTTGTGCAGACTCTACTAATCCCAGTCCCAGCCAATACATCAGTATTTCAGAAAAAAGGCATGCATTCTAAAAAGTGATGTAGTATATTCTTTGTAATGACACTTAGATAACAACATATATATATATAACAATGCTTAAAGATAAATGAATAAATATTAAGAAAATTTAAGTTTAATTAGGTTCACTGCCATTTTGAAAAATGGGTAAATTCGGTACCCTCAGAAACTTAGAATTTTGGGACAGTGGGAGGTACAAGCACAGCTGAAAATATACGCACATGAGGCTGGAAGGGTTAACATGGTTCAGGGACAGACTAAAACACCAGTACAGAGCTGCCAACTTTTCAAAACCAAAATATCAGACTCTACCTGCCCACACGGCACGTCAGGATGGGGGACACTGGCCAAGTAACCCCCATCCCTCCCCCGCAACCCTTCACACACAATTTTCTGCACTCAATAACTTCAAGACAATAAAAGAAGACCAGCAGCAAAAAATCTCTCCACTTGAATTATGGCCTGCGTTTTCATCATGAATCACAAACTTAGTCTTAATAGTTCATAATCTTTCATCAGAATCTGCAAGTGCGTGAGGAGCAATACAAGCAGACTGAGAAGGCGTATTTTTCAACACAAAAACGGACTTCTATACTCAAACTCTCAAAAACCGTACCGTAATAAATACAGGGTTTTTTTAACATCCTGATTGGCAGCTATGCTGGTGTGAAGGAAAGGGAAGGCCGAGGAGTCCTCCCTACATGTCAAACTTCCGAGTGTTTCACTAAACCGGCAGAGTTTTGCCCACTGTCTTTGAGGCGGCTGCGTAGAATATACTGGTGAAGAACTTGAGACCCGTCTGTCCTCCTGGGATGTAGCTCACCACATACCTGCAGGAACACACGACAGAAACATACTTTTTAAAATGTCGTCATCCAAATCTGCCGTAACTGACAAAACGTCTTCTTTATATTCACAACAGTTTCGAGGGAAAGAGTTTTCTTTTGTCAGCATAACCATTTAAAAGTAGCTTTCTTCCTAAATTTGAATTATAATTTATTCAAATACTAGTCACTGCTTCACTTTGATTTTTTCACACAAGTAGGGTAACTGATCAGGCTTTCAATTTAGCCAATAAAATATTTTGGTGCCAAAATGAAAAAAGGTGGGACACTTCCATACAGCTAGAAAAGGGTAGAGGGGAATTGTCATTCCAAATGAAGAATTGACGGTTTATTCCTTAAAAATTTTAAAATAAAGCATTAATTTCATGTAAAGCATAAATGCTTTATTCTTTTGCTTTAAAAAAACATTAAGGGCACACAGGAACCCTGAATGTTCAGGTGCCTATCCCACATGAGGTTTTGTTTAGTTTTAGTAACAGTTTCACGGCACTTGCAACACAAGAAGGTTATATAATGTATTGGATTAGAGGTGTTACAAGAGATAACAAACACAGAGAAAGAAGGAGGATAGATAAGGACGACAGATGTTGGATAGGAAAGAAAGTAGCAAAAAACACCAGAGCAGAAAGGCCGAGATTTTCAATATAAACTCTCCATACAGGGGAATTGAACTCAATTCTCCTGTCTGTGTGTCCCTGAAGCCCCTAGCCCCCTACACCAGAGTCAGCGGTAATAAGTATGTATTATTCAGAAAAAAAAAGCAAATAGATCCGGTAACAATGACAATAACCTTTCTGTTGCGTCAAGTCACAATTACACCATAATATAACTACTTGGCAACTCTTCCAAATTTCAACAGGTATTAACGAAAGCTCCAAAAAGCCAAATCGCTCAGGAAGCTTTTGCGACTCACCATATCAAAGCAACGACTTGTGCAACAGCAAAAATGACAGTGAAAACTGTACTCTTCACCTGAGGAAAATATTGGGTGTTTTCGTAAGAGTTTTACGGCACTTGCAACACAATAAAGCCATATAAGAGCCGAAGATTAGAGGTGTTACAAGAGAGTAACAAACACGAAAAAGAAGGAGGATAGACTTAAGGAAAACAGATTTTTGATAGGAAAGAATGAGCAAACCACACCAAAGCACTTACTAACCACCAACAAAATATTTGGAGGATAGATAATCAACTGACAAACAAGAAGGAAAACTTTATACACTGGCAAAAATCTACAATTGAGATTGTCCATGATAGTCTCTCATTGGCACGGGGAAAAGTGGCTGGTTGTTTCAGACAAGCAATCCTCTTGGTCAGCGTCATTAAATTTATTTTTTTTAGAGGCGAAGTGAGACGTGGTCTTTTATGCAGGCAACAATTGTCTTGGAACAAAGTTTAGAATTTATTCTTTAACTTTTTAATTATACCAGAAAGACAACGTCATGTCACTGTTGACAATTTTTAAAGACTTTCTTTAAAAAAAAAGGCCAAAAGTACCAATGCAAATGAACATCTCAATAGCCGACCATGTTACATAAAACAAGTTCTTCTCTTGTTGCTAAACATAATAATGTCTGTTCCAGTTCCCGAAATAAAAACAAGTTTACCAACAAAATGTTTTTACTTATCCAAATTCTGTAGTTTTTATTTTATTTTACTTAGGTCAAAGGCTGTCAATCCTCAAAATCAAAGAGGGGTGATACATTTCACACAACAACAAAAAAAAAAAGTAAAATAATAATAATAAATTAACTTTAAAAAAAACCAAACAACACTTCTATTTCTTGAAGTCAAAGGGTTCTCAATGAAGAACAATTTGTCACTCATAGTTACAAATTTAAAAAAAACAACTCACCCACAAAGAGAAGTACAATGTGGCGAACATGGTCCCGAAGTAGGTCAAGGTGAATGGTAACCGGCTCAAGGAAAATAGATGCTTTACATGATGAACAGGTCCCCACAACAAAGCAAAACTGGACAGAAAAAAGGAGACAATAGTATAAATGGTAGACTCTTGCATACAGTAGGGTCAACATTTATATATATATTACCTGTATTACCTGTCCTAAGCAACAATGTCATCGCACACCGGACAGGTCCATAAGTGCTCATTTCCTACCAGCACCAAAGCCCGCAAGGTATCCATACTGATTGTTCCGGTGGCTCTCTGATTTATATAATATAAGACAGGGCTACACAACGTTCCGGTGACAAATGATGTGAATAAGCTGCGCCTTTCGGTAAAAATATTGAGGTTAATTACAGCAGAGTCAGAGTGCAGTCATACAGACTCATGGTCGCTCATAAGGCTGCATGCCGTCAAAACCCTTCTTCTGAAAAATCTACACGACAGAAATCTAGTTGATGTTCATCGTGTGAATAAGTTATGGATCCTAAATGTGTTCACCAGACTTAAGGTAATTTGTAACTGGCAAATTTCAAGAGTCTAAAAGCTCTCTCCTTTGCCTCTGCATTGCCATAATGTCCACAGGTGCCTTTCTCGTTCTTGTTTTTTCCGCCTCCTTTCTTCTGAGGACTCTATGTTTTTTGTTACATTCTGCTACACACATACAATTCTAAGGCAGTGAAAAAAGCAACCAAGCGAGATGAATTGTCTCACCTAGATATCACAAAGAGACTTCCCATGGAGTACAAGAGTGCAAACTTGCGGGCCTTCAATACTAGGAAGGGGATGTAGAGACTGGCCTGAAAAGACAACAGAGGAGATAAAATCTTATATCTGTCATGAATTTCTCTAAACAGAGGATACAGACACTTTATCATTTCTAACAGAATAGAAAACGCCTAACATGGCACACATGTATGAATTTATACAAATAGGCAAATGAGATAGGCCTACAATACTCAAAGTAAACTCTGTAGTTCGACAGAAGAAAAAAGAAACTCCTTTGGTTAACATAGAGATAGAGAAGATGTGGCTGCAACGCTACATGTTATGAACAATTAATATATTGTGCCATGTGATATTAAAAAACAATTAAGAAAGTGATCATTTTCTTTATCAATACTCAAAAGTAAACTCTGTAGTTCGACGGAAAAAAAAAGAAACTCCTTTGATTAACATAGAGATAGAGAAGATATGGCTGCAACGCTACATGTTATGAACAATTAATATATTGTGCCATGTGGTATTAAAAAACAATTAAGAAAGTGTTCATTTTCTTTATCATTTCCCGGCTCGGGGTGAACAGAATCATATTTTTAAACGACTTTGTAACCTGTTTGGTATGTGGATATCAAGTTCACATTTTTCTAAAAAAACCATTTGAAACAATAATAACTTCCTGACCAACTGCCACAACAAACGCTTAGTTATAATCATATATAATGACCAACTGTCACCGAAGATCGCAGAACCTTGATGAAGAGAAGGTTCAGTTTTGTCACTCACCAAACTGAAGCAAAACGTTCCCATCAATAGGCAGACGATGAAGCCAAGGATCCTCTGTTTCTTTGACTGAAATATTAAAAGGGAACAATCAAAATCACTTCTCTCACATAATAACATAAATTGTTCCAAATAATACATTGTGATTACAGCTGACCCCCTTATGAATATATATTCCTTCATGATAATACTTGTGTATTCTTTTTCAAGCGAAAGAAGCTCACATCTTTAAATAAAAGTCTTTTATAATTGCAAAAGGTCAAGCTACCAAAATAGCCACTCACCCAGTTTGAAACAAATTATGACCTTCAAGAGAAATTCAAGTCTCTACTTGTTCAATTTTATGAATATATAAAAGTAGGCCTACATTGTAAAAATAAAAATACCAAAAGCGTCAATAATTGTAATTTTGTAAAGGGAAAAAGGTGGTACAGTAGATCTACCACAAAGTGAAATTTTTGTTTTGACATTGGAAGTTCGAACCCAGTTTTGAGTCCACACAAGAAGAATTCTTTCAATATTGTTGTGTTTAGTATTTCAAAAATGGCAACTAGAACACTTGACAAAGACAATAGAGGCCTTCATTTTAATGACTGACAACAAAATTGAGTTGTTTTCTCAATGTCTATATATGGTGAAGTCATTGCAGCATCTGAGTATTATAGGAGGAAGAGCTCAAGGAAAAACAAACAATATAATATGCTCTAAATTCATGATGCATTCTTTAACATTTCTATGAGGTCGACTGCAGTCACAAAGAAAGAGTCGTAAACAATTGAAGGCATCAAAGGGTGTTTCTAGTGAAAACTGGATGAGTGAAAGACAATGGAATATATTCTGAATTCAGTGTCAGTTGAAACTACATAGTAAGACAAAGGACTAAAAAGCTGGCTCACTCTCTATAACAAAACGCAGTGGCTACTTTCACGGCGCCATGAAAGTAGTTTGCAGGCTACGTACCGCGCTCTGAATAGTTAGTCTGCAATTTAAGAACGATCTTGTTCACTTCACCCCCAACCCTTTTCCCTTTTGCTTCTTCTTTTTTTCACCCCCTCCCACCCCTCTTCCCTTGCCTTGGCCTTCTTCTGTTCTCCCTTGTTTCTTCTAAGACCAGCTCTATTCGGACTCAAGCCCGAATATAATTTTTATCTATTCGGACTCGAGTGTCCGAACGGGTTAAATTATCTATTCGGACTCGGGTCCGAAAATGTTTTTTATTTATTCGGACTCAGCTTCTAAGTGAGTTATGTGAGAGTGAGGAGGTTACATTATATAAATATCGTCTGGGGATTTTACGTAAAATCAGAATTAGAACTAGAATAGCCTACAAGGACTGTGTAATTACAGTGAGTGTCAAAATTTTTAGGACG